ATATTATATATATATATATATATATATATATATATATATATATATATATATAAAATTTATAGCATAAAAATTGTAATATTTTCATCACGCTCTTATTGATGTGTTTATACAGAGTATCTTAGATTATCTTAGATTATAAATGCAACTGTCATCAGTTTGCACAATAAAGAATTCATTAAACAACCCTTACACCAACGTCTGTGTATACGAGGATTTTTCCATTTTAATGCATAACTTAAATAGATAATCCTTGAAACAGTTGGGAAATACACTTGTGAATTTATCGTGAATTCAATCGCGAAAACGTAATGATTACGGCCGCTTGTACTTCGCGCAAAAATACTGAAGCGTACTCGAGGTCGAGCATGTATACGCCATAAAGTAGCTTCATTTACTTTTCATTTGCATAAGAAAACTTCCCGCTATGTTAGAGCAGTCGGAGCGGACAGCAACTGCAACGGATCGCTTATGAGATTAAGAAAGGCAAGATATCGGACGGCGTGCTCTCGTCATGAGAAACTCGAATCTGTCGGAGCGGAGACGCAACCCTTTGTTATCCTAATGGTAACAGATCACCCACAGTGCGCTGTGAGCGTTATAAATATGAGATCATTGCGTTAATCAAACGCAATTGGATTTGTAGAATTTGCATCGACTCAAGATCAATCGATCTGATTCGGCTGAATATCCACGGTTAAGATTGCAACAGCGACACTAACGCATATCGTCAGCAAATACAGAACGCTATGATATAATTCATTATACAATTTACGTGCGACTAACAGAATCCACATTTATCAAACATTAAAAATTGACATCAAAAGAAATTAATATTAATTGTGCGTAATTGTAATTTTAATTATAGAATAAAATTCTATAATTAAAATTCTGTAGTATATATATAATTTTTACTACTAGTAAGTGTGTGATTTCTTGTTATCTGAATTAAATCTTGAATTGAATTTTTGTTATCTAGACTTCATTCTGAAATAGTAATTAGTACTCTTCTTCAATATGATTTTCTACATACGACTCTCTCGTGCGAGATAAAACTGATTCTTATGCGGCCTTCTGTTCTCATTTCTAATACGGTAATGAATCCAATGGTTCGCGTATTTCATTTTTATCTCTGCGCGTAATGAGCATCTTAATTGAGACGTGTGAAGATCTAATGATAAATAACACGCTCGTAACTCCTCATGGCTTGATGAAAATCATCTGGAGATCTCCCTACTCGCAATTGAGAATGATTTACGATTCTCTAAACAAATTCGACTTCGAAATAATGCGCTTGCTAAATCGCGGAAGCGCAAAGATCAGTTTATTCGATTGATGAACAATTTGTCAATAACCAGCATTCTCGCAACGATTGCTCGACACACCTCGCGAATCTGTATCGGTAATGTTGATTCGAATTGTGATGCCGACGTGTGTACGACGGGAATAATATGGTGCCATACTTTTATTTCGCGAATTGCACGGCATTCTTTAGATAATCATTAAGATTAGTCGCAGGTGCATCTATCCACAGTATGACGTTGATACACGATCATGAAAGTGACCCGAGTACTCCGTGCATTATGAATTAGACCGGCGCCCTCGTATAGTTAACCGTTAAGCAATCTAACCTGCACAACGGGAGGATCACCGAAGCTTTCGAAACCTCCGAACGAATTATGTCCGATGACCAAGGATAATGATCTCGGGTGTAGTAATGCCTCATCTAAAACAGCGACTCTGACTGGCAAGGTGCGGTCGGCGATGAATCAAACTGCAGGTCTGTTCCACGACCCGACTACACGACTCCCTGAGAAAAATACCCTCGATCGACTTCGATTTCTTCGAACGTGACCGGGCTTTTGACGTTGACCCGTCGTGGAAACGACGATGCACGTCGGCAACGCTCGCGCTATTGCAATCGCATCGCATCATTGTGCGTTTTTACGATAAATTCAGCTACTTCATCGATCGCGCGGAGATAAATCTGTTTTTTCTCGCGCTTGCGATATGCAATCTGCGCCGTTGCAAGGTTTCGGTGACCCAGTTCAGACGTTATTTCCCAGGAAGGTATAAAAATAGCGTGCATTGAATAAAAGACGTCCCCCGAGGACTTTGTTTTCTCACACGCGAGCGGACGCCCGCGCACGACATTTCAATGCGAATAATAACGATGACTCACACAGTAAATGAGAGAACTCGCGAAAATTTCCGTCTCGGCTTCCTCTAGTCGCGCGTTTCCCGGTTGTATCGATGATTAATTACGGAAAGATCCACTGTAACGAGCGGTTGCTTCGGTAATGACACGGGCATTGTGGCGAACTGTACGATCGACGCCTCGTCCACTACGTCAAATCGGTGGTGCGGAACACACGTCTATAATCGGCCGCTCATAATTATACCGATCTCCCATGCGCCGTGGCGTCTTGTTCGACACTCCACCGATCACTCCGCTAATCCTCCGTTAATCGGGAATCACTCATGTGAAGCTGAGTATATACTGAGCGAGCGAACAACAAACGACGAATGCAAACTTTCTCTCTTAAAATAAATCAGTCAAACATCATTAAAAACAGTGAATATACACTGATTGCAGTTATAAGTATAGCACTGAAAGTGCTCAGTGTTATGCTCATATCTAATATCAGTGACTATTCACTGATTCACTTTAAGAGAGTTCGTTTTACGATTAAAAAGTATATACAGGATGTCCCAAACTCTCCTCCGCAATTTTTGTGTGTAGAACGTAAAACGGATTGAAGTGAACGTAAAAAATCCATACCGTTTTGCGATATAAAAGAAGATTTGTGCATTATCGCACATAATCAGGTAACAATTTTCTTTCATTAACAACTAAAAATCTACATGGTTACTTGTAAAATAATAAAAGTTAATTAATATCCACTTTTTTGTTCAATTTAATATACAAGCACACATCGCCACTATGGCCCATCTACTATATCGCGCATGATCATTCATCAATTCATCATTTTTCTTTAATCAATATTTCGATTATTATCGCGAATATCGCAAAACGATGTAAGACTTTTATGTTCACCTCAATCCGTTCTATGTTCACAAAAATTGCGACAATGAAAAACGACGAAATCGAGGATCGTCCGTTGATTCAGAGTAAGGCGCTACCGGGCTTTCCTTTCGACTTGTGTTTATATCGCTGATCGAACCGCCGATATCGCGGGAGCGAACACACGACATCGGACCTGTCCCTGAATTTAATAAGTTGGCACATAATTCGCGATAAACGGATCTCGACATGCCGATCGGCAACAAGAAGGAAAAGCGATCGCGCACAATCACAAGCAGCCCGAAGATTAATCGTACGAAGTTATTAAACCACCGCGATACCAGAGCGATCGGTCATAAACTGGAACGTTCGTGCGCACTACTAAAACTGCCTCGTATTTTTGAAAATTTGAACAAAAAATTTCTTCAATATTCTTACATCGACTTTATTGTCATTTTGCATATATTTTCGTTATTTATATTCTACCGTTCAATCAGTATTTTTCACTGAAATGCCATACTTATAATTGGTAGTTTAGTTATAAAAATGACACTGCAATCAATAGAATATTAAAAATCAGCTAATAATAGTATCAGTTAATAATAGTATCAGTGTATTTTTCACTGAAATGCCATACTTATAATTAGTTTGGTTATAAAAATGACACTGCAATCAATAAAATATCAAAGATCAGTTAATAATAGTATCATATGGTGATCACATTGTGATCACATGGAAGCCACTAATTCTATCATCATAAATGCAAAAAGTTGAATCTGACGAAATGTATAACGAATTTGTGTGTATTACAAATTTCGCGGTGAAATTTTACTTGTACTGATCAAAATTAGTGAGATATAAGACGAAGCAGTAAAGTGAGTGTTTCCATTGAAAATCAGTGAATATTCACTGATCGTCGATGAAATACTTCTGTTACTGATCCAATCAGAAAAATTTTTGCTGATTCACTTTAAGAGAGTGTATGTAAATCAATTGCAAGTGGATACGGAGCATTGCTCCGTGACTAACACAACGAAAGCAACCCGTAAGTGTTAATGTCACGAAATTTCACGGTCCTCCACACATCGCAGTAAGTCCGGTGACGCATATACGAGAGCTGTACAGAATCCCCTCTTTCAGAAGAGGTGCTTTCATGCGCACGTATAAAGCCAGTGAAAGCGCCAGACGGCCCTCCAGACTACCGCACAGTCCGACAGCGACAGGAGCTCTGCCGGCGTAGCGTGCGAACGGACGGACGGGCTTAGACTTATTGAATTTAACACCCTCTCTGGACGATCCTACGCACACGAGTTCTCGTACATCTCGAGACACGGACCAGTTTCAAGAGAATTAATAGTCGCGCGCGCCCTGTTTCGCCGTTCGCGTGTTCGCAAGTCTCCGTCGAATTCTCGTAAACAGATCTGTGATCGCGATAGCTCGGGTCAGAAGTGATCATGAAGATGCATCCCATTGGAATCGTGGCTGTCTTGCTGCTAATCGGGACCGAAATCTTGGGATATCCTCCGCAGGAAAGAATAATGCCAGGTATTTGACAGTCTCCGCGCTAACGTGCGTGATCTCTCTCTCTCTCGCTTTGCTCTGCTTCCATTATTTATTGCCGCCTTATTAAACTTCGTATTTCACGCTCACGATTATTTTCCTTCGTCAATTATCGCGAGTAAAACTAGTAATTAACTTGATATTATGAATAACGAACGTAAATAATCGCACGAGAGCTGCACGTGCGCGACGACGCGAGTTCCTGCGTAAAACGAACGAAGACACATTTTTGCTCGCTCGTTTATATCTTGCGACAAATCGTACGGATGTCACGAAGTATCGATTTTGTTGCGCGGATATGATGTTGATGCGAAAAATACCGGTCTATTCATGCGAATTGTCAAGGAGAGAAGAAGTCGCGCCTCCATTGTAGTTGGTGCTTGAACCAATGCTTGAACCGCAAAGGTAATGTTAAGTTATTCTATGTCGATGACTTAAAGTTCATGGCGAGAACCTTGCACAATGCGGTCATCTACTGCGGAGAGCTCACGGCGAGGCGTGTTCGAAGACATTATCCTTTTCCATACAGATGTATCATCGCATGCGCACAATACAATAATCAGCTTATATACATCCTCGACAATACAGAGTTTATTGCCTGCCTGCGCTATTAATCTTTTCTTGATTCGATGTAAATACGACAGCACTGTTATACCGATGTGCAACATGCTTTGCTAATATAATAAGTCGCAATTTACGTGTGGCAAGTATCTGATATTACCATTTAAAAAACGTAATACATTGCGTACATAAAACGCACTGCTTCAAAACTTAAGTCCAATCTGCATTGAAATTAAAAAATATTGTCTGTAATTTCTCCATAATTTTTACATAATCTATTTAAGGCTAATAATTTTAAGGTTGGATGTTAGTGCGAATGTTTTTAAATTATCTATAAATAGGAATCAAAGAGAATTACGCAATTTGGATTTTTAAAACGGGGATTAATTAAAATAATAATAATTGATATTCAGGGTCGACTTGACGTGAAAAGTTGGATTTACCACGTACGTTGTAAGACCGGAAAAATGTTCGACACTTACGCACGTAAATCGCGTTTACACTGTCAAACAATATATTATCCTTCCATAATTAAAACAGTTGCACTAACATCCAACGAACGGTCTTTATTGGCCTTGTATTTCTCTTAATATGATTATAAAATGTGGTTGCACTCCAACAGAGTCTTTTATATAGTTTATAATTTGTTTATGTGGCATATCGCATAAAAAGTTCAAAAGTTTGTGTACATAGGTGCAGAAACAAAACTGTACATACCGCACATATATATCTCTTTTTAATCAAGAGTGATCGATGTACTGCATAAGATAATTATGCCTCCACCTTCATCCTGTCGTTTGCTTACGAAACTGGAACGCTTCCTTTTGTTAATTCTAATAGCCTTGCGCGAAGAGCGTGCACTGAGAGAAAAATATAGTTGCCTTTGGCGTCAACTATACGCTTTAGTGATTTTAACCACAAACATAATTGGAAGAACCATTATTTCAGTAAGTGTTATTAGAAAGATGGTTTTTCTAATTATTTTTCTGGTTAAAATCACAAAAAAGTATAGTTGACGCCGAAAGCAACTATATTTTTCTCTCAGTATGTGTCTCGAAAAGACGTGACGCTCGAAATTGCGGCGATTCAGGCTCCCGTCCCTATGACCGATCTTTTCCCTCAACGTTCCCTCTCGCGTCGAGCTACGCCGTTTTGCATCCGGGACGCTGACATTTGTCCAATAAACATAAATAAAATGGGTATTACAACACGCGTCGCGCCTAAGCGCGGGAAGCCGCGAAAAGGCATGCGAACGGCCGTCTGAACAAGCACGTGATTCCAGCTCGTCGTGAACTACACTCACGAGATTTGCCGCCTACGCGTGCATGTAGTCGCGTTCGTCGCCTTCATATGCAAGTACTGCAAGGCCTGCAAGGACTACAACTGCGTTTTTACTAGACACACCGACGTAAAGGCAGGGTCGACGAGTATAGCGGGATCTGTATACCTCGCTCGCGGAGAGCACCGCTTCGCGATGGGGAGAAATCACTGTTCCGGATGCGAATTAAGCTCATTCGCGAAACATCGGCTTTTCGATTCGTCGCGGAAAAGTGAATTTTTGCCGCTAATCAAATATCGCAGCACGGGCGCACTTGATCGATTTGCCGCGCGGATAACGATTTGGAGAATGCCAGGAACAAGTTCTGCATTTATATTGAATATTAAGGTACACGACAAAGGAATGTCAAATTTAATAAGCTCGATGGGTACGCATTCGTGAAATTGATTACATGCGCGCGTAATTACCTGATCTTTAACGTTCCCTACATGTATAGATTGTTCCTGATCTTGCACGCTTCTTTTCGTCTAAAGATTCTTTCCTCTCGCAAAATTTGGAGTCAACTCTTGGCACGTTTGGATTGACCTCTTTCTACTTAATTATGAAATTCTAATAATCCATTCGCGATCCGTTTAAAGTGAAACTGAGGCCCGACTTCCCACAGTTCACGGCTTGAAAATTATCGGCAAGAAAAGTTCGCTTGAAATCAGCTAAGAGATCTGGTAGCGAGGGAAAAGAGATGCGAGAAAAGTGCACGCGCACTTGTGGTTCCGCAAATTGATTTTGCAACGAAATCAGCCTCCTCTGACACAATTCTGTCGCGATCTCGCAACCTCAGCCTAACAACTGTAACATTTAGCGTTCACACCTCCGCACGCGTACCGCGCGTAAAGAAAATCAATGCCGGTTGCATAGACGCCAGGACACGGCCGGTATAATAACAACAATTTCTCTAACGGCGCGCAGGAGCAGCGGGTATCACGTGCCGCACGTGATTCCACGTGCTTTTGCACGTGCCCGATTATCGTCGATATCGGCATGGCCGCGAGGAATCGAGCGAGAAAGAGAATCGCGCTCCGTACACCTTTCCTCGTACGGATTAATGCCATCGAGGGAAAAGTCCGAGCGAGTCACGTGCACGTGCCGCCAGCCACTCGCCTCGAATCACGCGACCGTCCGTTCTGTCAATTAGCGAGCGCGACGTCTTCCCGGCACCACCGTCGGTTCACGGCAAGGCCGCGACAAAACCCGTTTGTACCGCCGCTGCGAGAGGAGCTCTCGATCCATCGGGAAACGCGATCTACCGACCCGTAATCTCCTCGCGAACAGGGAGACGATCATGAAATTCTTCCTCCAGCATGAATTCGTGAAAAATGATCTCTTTATATGCTTCTAACAAATAAACCTATCCAAAAGGTACACTCCGATTTCTTCCTAATTTGGCACAAATGTAGAAGTACAAAAAATATTTGTTTTTTTATTTTGGCCCACTTTGAGTTTCACGGGCAGTTTATAGCTTTTTAATGTTCTCACTCCTATCATCAACAAGTACAACAAAAATGCATAAGAAATAAAATTGAACATACAAGATATAAATAAATACAATATATAGTTAAATAATTTTAACAAAATCGGCATAGCTGAAATACGAATCATTCTAAATTTCTTTAGCTGAGATTTCAACCGAAATATTTCAAATCTGTGCTAAATTAGTCAAAAATGGCTCGAATCTCGGCCAAACCGAAAGAGAGAGAGAGGGGGGGAGAGAAAGAGAGAGAGAGATCCGGCAATTTTAATTAAAATTTCAACAAAATTGGCATACCTGAGACACGAACCATTCTAAATTTCTTTAGCCAAAATTCCAACCGAAATATTTCAACTTTGTGCTAAATTAGTCAAAAAGAGTTCGAATCTCAGCCAAATCAAGAAATTATTTGTATAAATAATTTTTTTTACTTTTTATATGTTTTGTTTAAACATTTTTTTATTTATACAAATAATTTTATACATTTGACTTTATATTCATAATCAGCAAACCAAAAACGCCTATATCTTGTATTCAATTTTATTTCTTATGCATTTTTGTTGCGCTTGTTGATGATAGAAGTGAGAACGTAAAAAAATTATAAAAAGCTATAAACTGCCCATGAAACTCAAAGTGGGCCAAAATGAAAAAAATATGACCTAAATATTTTTTGTACTTCTACATTTGTGCTAAATTAGAAAGAAATTGAAGTGTAACATTTTGGTAGGTTTACTTGTAAGCTAAGAAAATGTTTATTTTTCAAGAGTTCACGCAGAGAACACTATACGAAGATATTTTTTTTAGTAAAAATTGCTACAAGATTTTGTAAACGAGATTACAATAGATCAACATTTTACAGTAACTCGTTATTCTTTCATTTTACATGTACTATTTATATTTTAGAAACTGAAACATATCATTAAAACATCTTGCTATGTTTCTAGCGCAATTTTCGATGTTTCTTAGTAGGATAGACCTTAGTGTCTTTCTATTTCTAAACTACTAAAAATATAATAAAATTTAAAAGAATTTCGATGAAAAAAAATTATAATATTCTTTCTATGTAGAGGAAAAGATTCACGATCAATTCGTAGAAAAAATATAATCAGTGTGTTATCCTCTGAAATGTGTGCTATACTTGTAACTAGTGGTTCAGTTAAAAGTATAGCACAGCAATCAGTAAAATCTCACTGAAAGGATCAGTTAACTAACAGCAGCGATTGTTCCCATTATTGACGCAGTTTCCAAACAGAGAGTGTCATTGTACGCAAATTACATGGAAGCCGTTGATTTCATCGCCACAAACGCATAAAATTGAATTCGTCACATCATAGAACGAATTTATGTGTTGCAGATTTTGCAGTGAAATCTCATTTTCATTGACTTCAAAATTTGTGAAATATAAGACTAACTAATAAAGTGGAAGTATCTTCAATAAAAATCATTGATTATCCACTGATTATTATTAGCGAAATATTCCTTTTACTGATTCAATTAGGAATATTTTTATTGATTTACGCACATACTCTAAGAGAGAGAAACTTGAGAAAAAAAAATAGAGAGAATACGATTGATAGAGTAAGAATCCACGGCGTTTCCGAAAACCAACGCGATGTATCT